ATAATGTTGACAAAAAAAAAAAAATCGGAGCAGACTGAAACCGAACCATGGACGTTGAGATTACGAGGCCCGTGTGTTGACCACTCGTCTTTCAAAACTCGGGTAAATGAATTGGTTAAAAGCGTATAAGAGTTACCTCATGTTACCCGAAAATCATTAATAAGTCACGCTTATGAAATTCATATGTGTTGGTCATAAGTCGAGCCTTATGAAATTCTTAAGTCTATTTGCCTCAGTGTAGTTTCATTTGGGCTTCCCTGAGGTATTAAATCTTTCCTACACACTAATCTAGCATTTAGTTGTTCGGTATTTTTTTGTACTGGGCTTACACCGTAAAACGAAAGATTTACTGAAAATTCAGTTTAAATCAGAAGAAAAACCGACGTTCTGTAAAACACAAACTGAACTTCGGTATCGTTTGATGGAAAATACTGTACACAGAATATTTATTTACTGAGAAAGTCGTTAATATCCAAATTTTAGTGATTTCACGAAAAGTCAGTAAAAATAATTACTGTGCATAAAGTAGTCTTTATTTTTTACCGACTGGTCAGCAAAATAGCCATCTTGTTTTACCGACCACGAATTGTAAAACTCTAACCTGTCAATTTTATTCCCGCCGCCATTTTAGCTTCAGTAAAATCCGGGAGCAAGTGTTTAATCGCGCAGTTTTGTTAAAATTTGAATTATATCATGAATTATATCATGACGGAACTGAGAAAACTCGACAACGAAATTGAAGTACTATTTCGTTAGTACCAACAATTATTATTTACTCTTTTTGCAGTTCCTTGATCTCCAGCAAATTTTGATTAACCAAATGGATGTTTGCATTGTTTTCTTTCACTGTCGATGCGCTGTTCCGGGGTACGTCAAGGGATTAAGTCGTCATATTAATTGGCATATTATAAACTGTGAATTGCACTAGGATTCGTGCTTTTATAACTGCACATTCACTACTTTTAATACAACTGGGTAACACGGTACAATAATGAACCAAATAACTGTCTTATCAGTTAAATTTCAGCAAAATAAACAAAACAAAATACTGGGTTTTCCAGTATACGCAACTCAAACCAATTACTGAATGAACAGTTATTTTTGACAGATTGACTTTACGGACAGTTCGGTAATGCAAATTATTTCTGTGATGATTACTGGGCGATCCGCAATTCAAAAACCCAGTAATATTTTACTGACTCCAGTAATCTAAAGTTAGTGTGTAAAGTTGATTAATTTTTCTATTGTTCCGGAAATTTTAATCATATTTATAAAATTTTCTGAAGACCTGCCATTGTTTCTGAATCATCGCAGAATTCATGAAATTATTGAAATATCCCATAATTCCTTTGAATTCCTTGAAATATCCTTCTATTTTCCTTAAATAAACGAAACTGATATGAATATCTCTAATCATCTACGAAGTTCCGGGAACTTCCCAAAATATAATGAAACTACCAAAAAATCTATATACCTCTGAAGGTCTCTAGACGTTCTTGAAGATTTTGGAACATTTTAAAAGATCTCGCGATTTTCTTGAACATAATCTGATCGTCGCTGAAGTTCCTGCATTTTTTCCAGTTCCTTAAACTGCATTGAATACCATGGAACTTTCTTAAAATGATCTCACATTTTCCTGATGCTCATGTAAGATCTCTTATGTTTCTGAAATTTAAATAAAGGTCTTGGTACTTTGATGAAGTTTCGGAAATTCCCTGAGTTTCTTGGAACTTCTTAAACATTCTTCAATTTCCATGAAATTAGTCTATTTATTTATTGATTTATTTATGTTTTCCATTCCTGGAGTACTTTCAATTCTATTGAAGTTCTTAGTACTACCTTTATGGTACGCTATGGAGTTAGCTCTATGGTACTACCCTGAACTAAATAGCACTGTCAAAAAATTTCTGAATTTTATTGAATTGACCGGAATTTATTAGAGCTTACGCATACGAATATTCGAACTTCCTTGAAAGTCTGGAATTTCTTGAATTTCTTGAAGCTATGAAGTTATTGGAAGTGCGGTTAATATCTCTGAAATTCCGTAAAGCTCTCTAGTTTAATAAGGTACTTGGAAGTTCTTTAAAATATCGATTTTCCTCAAGTTATCTCCACATCTCTGAAATTATTATGACTCCCCTAAAGTTCTCTGGATATCCCTGAATTTCTTAGATTTTCTTAAAAGGTCCTGCAGTTTTCTGAAGCTTTTGGAACCACTTTAAAAATCCTGAAGTTTGCCAGAAGTTCACAAAAAATTGCGGAACTTTCCTTTTGTTCCCGCAGTTTGCCTATGAAACTTCTTTAGTACTTCTTTTCACTCCTCAGACTCTCCTGAGGATCTCTATTGTTTCCTGAAGTTTACGGAACTTCCCTTATGTTTCCTTGCTGATGTTCCTGGAATTGATCAGAAATTAATGGAACTGCCCCGAAGATCTTTAAACTTCCCTTCAAACATGGATCTTCTGTTTACTTTCCTAAAATTTTCGGAACTTCATGACGGTTTCCTCTATTTTACTGAAATAAATGGAACTCCCATAAATTTCTCAAAACGAACCTTAAATTTTAGGGACGTTCCTCAAGTTCTCACAGTTTTCCTTATATTCATGGAACTGCCCTAACATTTTCAAAACATACCCGAAGTTCACGTAACTTACTCATAGGTCATTAAGCTTAAATTTTCCTGAATTTAATGGAACTGTCCGGAAGCACTTGATCTTTTTAATTTTTTTTCCTTGATTTTTTTCCGTCGATCTTGTTTTCCGTGCTGAGCACCAATGCTACCGACGCCAGGAAGGCAGCTCCCACACCTGGACCCTAACTATCGACCCATCAACTCATGAACCGGAGACCAACGGCTTTACTTCCCTTCCGAAGGAAGGCGTGATCAGGGATGTTGTGCCTCAGAACATCCCGGCGCCGACGGTCCCTAATTTGGGCCCATACACAAATTCAGCAATCGATTACATTTTCAATAGCAACCAAAAATATCCATTAGTACCGTCCCAATTACGCGTTCATCTAGATACAATTGATAAATAGCAGATTTTTAGCGATGGGCCCAATCTTAGATACATAGGCCAACATTAGAGCCATTTCCCCAACATATTTCATTTCCGCACCGCTATCATGTCCAAGAAGATCAAGGAAAAAATACCACAGCATTGTTCTAAACTTGCTTCCAAGCTTCCAACCCATCGGTCCTTTCAGGACCACATAAAAGAGTTAACTAAAGAGTTCAAGTAAGAGGTTGTATCCAAGACATATCGTCCAAGACACCGACAGAGCACCTCAAAAACAGAACTCTCAAATTGCTTCAAAATTTAAACCCATCGAACTTTTTCACTCATAACGAGCTAAGAAATCAATTTAATATTTACTATACATTTGCTGTGACATCAAAAGTACCTTTCGTAATTTTACGTCAAATTTACGGTCGTGTCTAGGATACAACCTCTTACTTTTTTTAAACTTAAACCGCTATCTAAAAAATTAAACAAATTTAAATGCGAAATTAGTTCTCGTATGTTAAACGAATATCACAATACAGTGCCCATTCGATTTTGGCAACAAGCCCGAAAATTTAGTGTTGCTAAAAACGAACGGTTTTATGATTTCGTTGATTTTGAACCACCGTGAGTACTCTGTAAGACACAGGCGTTATTAATAATTAATTGTTTATTAAAAAAAGGAGCAACAATAACTCATTTTCAAAATCCTTTCGATTTGGCACGGTGCCCAAAACGAACGGTTTTGTGGTTTTGTAGCCAAAATCGAACCGTGCTAAAATTTAACGGGTACTCTATGTCTAAAATAAGAGTTAAGCACATCAATAAAGACATTAACAGGCATTGGACATAAATTGGTGGTGAATACAACCTCCACCTCCAGTCACTACATCAGCATACGTACTGGTCTCTTTCTTATTCCGTTGTTGGTTTTCTTCTTCAGTTCGTAGTCGTACTGGCTGCTTCCGATCTTTCCGCTTGGGGCAGGAATTCATCCGATGGCCCTCCGTCTTACAAATGAAACACAAAATTATGTTCTCTTGAAAGAATATGGTCTCCTTTCGATTGAGGAAATGCAGCTAGTTGGGAATCTCCTTTTTTACGTACATATATAGACCTCGCACACCTGTGTGGATATCCAGGATTAGAGATGAACTAGCCTTCGGCTAAAAATCTCTTAAATAAAGATTTAAAAAAAATAATATATATATATCCAGGCTCAAGGCTTCTGGAAATTTCTCCCGAACTACACGCTTTACATCACCCTGTTTCCCTAGCACCAATGCTAGATCGCTATCCGGGACATCTGGTAATAGGTCGTACACTCTCAAGTATTGAACGGTGCCCCCAGCAGGCAACATGCGTACCTAGACTGACTTCCAACGGCATAATGAAAAGTTAATTGTTCACGTTTGTTCAACAAGCAATGAAGCATCGAATCTTCTGATTTGAACTTACTAAACATAAATTTTTCCTCCGCTATACGATATGTAACGATCATCTGCACAAGATCCGCGTCCAGCGCTTCCACGAAGTTTGCAATTTCATCCATAGATGGTCTCGCCGAGCCATGTGAGAAGCTGAACCTAATCGTCAGTTGTATTTTCAACGGACATCTCTAGTTGTTTGCTTCCAACGGGGCAACGATAAAAGTGAACGAGCCTCAAACAATGAGCATGCACCACCACAATGAGTTGCTATCGCAAAACAGACTATTATGTGACTCGCACCGAAAAATATACACACCTGCTTGTGTCAACAGCTAAAAGCGAATTGGTTCTCATCACTATACCCTTATGAAATGACGATTCTAAAATTGAAGGCAAATCTTGTTAACTGAGCATTGGTCAGTGATTGTCAAATTATAGCGCTATCTGACTTTATTAAACATCCGATTGGTTTATTGTTCAGTAGATGGGTTTAAAGTTTAATAATAATGAAACCCCCAAACCATAACAAGCATACCAAATCAAAAGCCCATTTCTCGCATTTCAGTCAATTCTACAGCAGTTCCCGGACGATCATAGGCGGAAGTTCTTATACCAACTGATAAGTCGAGAGCAGCACTTTGTGACGGCTATCAATTTCGGAATTGAACGATTTGTGAACCCGCTAAGGGAACGGAAGGATATCATTTCACCCAACGATCACAAAACACTCTTTCAGAACATCGACGAGGTACGACTTTAATAAAGTTTGCAGTTGAGATATTAAGTTTAATCTTGATTTACTTGATTTCAAATGCAGCTATCCCGAATATCAGAAGACATCCTAGAGCAAATCATCCAGGATGAAACCGAGCCTCAAATCCATTTTGCTTCCCGCGTCTATCTGTCCAAATGTACGGCCCTCTGTGCGGCCTACAAAAAGTACTGTAACGGCCTGAAGAAAGCAGACTGCGTGCTGGTAAGCCGCGTGGTTTTTTATACCAAAATTCGAAACTTAAATCATTTTTTTCGGGCAGGTCAACAAATCGAGAAATAGTAACTGTGATTTTATGCATTTTATTACGGAGCCACCGGTGCCACGGAAACGTCCAGACTTAACCACCTTCATACATCGACCGTTGCAACATTTTAGGGAAATTTTAAAACTATTCCAGATGATCGCCTCCCACTGTCGTGTAGATAGTGAAGAGCATAACAACTTCAACAGCATCATTAATGAGTTGCAGGTAATTCTAGGGAGAGATATTGATTTGATCGATGGAATTTAATAAGAATCATCATAGGTGGCATATCGGGAAATAACCGTCGGCGGTGGCCTGATGGAACCAATCGGGGAAGGTCGACCGTTGTTGACGTTACAAGACTTGGAAGCGCGAATGGTTTTCACCAAGTGCAAACCATTTCAGCTGGCTTCCCATGGAAGGCAGTGGATTTTCGGTAATAGACTAGAGGAAATTGGTTGGGAGTGTCTATCTAAATTGATTAAACACTATTTGCAGGTGGTGATTTATCGCGAGTGGAAGGCCGATCGGTGAAACCGTATTGGACGTTGTTGTTTAGTGATATCCTACTATTTGCTAAGGTTAGTCGAGACCGGGTGCTGTTCATCACGGAGGAACCAATTTCGCTGTCTACGATAACGGATTCATGTTTCAACATTCGGAAAAAGAGTAAGTATTTCTTGTATGATTTGGGAAAAAGAACTATGAGTCAATGAATGACTTTCGTATAAAACGGGGCACATTTAAGGCCCACGCACATTAGATCCGGATCGGACGCGTTGCGGCAAAGTGAAAGCTAAATCTATTGTCTAACTGTCAAATTTACGTCAACGCAACGCAAACGGATCTAATGTGCGTGGCCCTTTAGAGTTTGAATAGTTGGTACTCCTACACATCTGCGTTGCACCATTAGTGTTGGAGTACCAGTACATGCTATATGCATTATAAATTGGCCCCATTTATTTGCAAGTCTGCTTAGCTATTAAAAATTAAGGAGGTCTGTCGTAGATGAAAATACTTTTTCATAATGCAATATTTGTTTTTTACAAATTTTAATTCATGTTAAACCAAATTATATATCTCAATTGCATTAATTATAAAAGGCGGATTGCGAATCGGTACACGGCCAATGAGATCCTCTTAAAATTTGGTCAGATTTCCCTCAAATTCGCAAAACCGCAGGTTATACTCATAGACTCAAGTGAAATGTTCTCGATTTTCCTCAAAAATGTGCTCGAATATTAAGAAATTCGAGCGAAATTATACTCAGCCTATTAATATACTGAATGAGAGTTACCTACAGATTTTAGAAAAAAATACTCAGTCTATGAGCATCCCGAGTTTTTGCGAGTGGAATCTCACTCAATTTTGAGTTGATCTCATCGGTCGTGCATCAGTCTTACTGATATTGTGTACAAGTTTTTAGGTACATACTTACAAGTACTACGGACACGTTCAACATAAAGCCCTCTAGTTAAAGTTAGGACGAATGTTACCACAAAACTGAAGAAAAGCTGTTCCAATCGAGCAAAGCGGTGCATTTTGACGGTTCGATTGGAACAACTTTTGACAACTTTTTCAACATGCAGACTGTTAAGTAAACTCAGACTGGCTAATTGAAATTGCAGTGTTTACTACAGACGGTATTTGCTGGATTTGCTGGAATCCCAGTCGGGTTCGCTGGAATCCCAGTCGGGATTCGCTGGAATCCCAGTCGGGATTCACTGGAATCCCAGTCGGGATTCGCTGGAATTCCAGTCGGAATTCGCTGGAATGCCAGTCGGGATTCGCTGGAATGCCAGTCGGGATTCGCTGGAATCCCAGTTGGGATTCGCTGGAATCCCAGTTGGGATTCGCTGGAATCCCAGTTGGGATTCTTTCGAATCCCAGTCGGCATTCTCTGGAATCCCAGTCAGGATTCGCTGGAATCCCAGTCTGGATTCGCTGGAATCCCACTCGGAATTCGTTGGAATCCAATCCGGAATTCGCTGGAATCACAGTCGGGATTCGCTGGAATTTCAGTTGGAATTCACAGGATTTCCAGTCGGAATTCACAGGAATCCCATTCAGGATTAGCTGGAATCTCTGTCAGGATTCGCTGGAATCCTAAAGATGGTTTTTATTGAATCCCCAAACAAAGTTCGTTCAAATCCCAGTCGATATTCGCCGGAATTCCAGTCGAGATTCGTCGGCATCCCAGTCGGGATCCATCGGAATTCCAACCAGGATCCATCGGAATCCCTGCTAGGATTCATCAGAATCCCGGAAGGGATTCATTAGATTCCAAGTAGCTATCGTATGATTCTATAGAATCTTGAAAAAGTAATCTGTGAGGTTTTTTTTTTCAGCACCGATATCGAATTCGATATCGTAACATCGAACGGAAAAATATGAAATCTTATACCACATGTTCATTAACATATTTTAATATTGCAGATACCGAGTTCCGGATAACGACCGATCCGAACGGTCGCCAGATCGAAAGCCCAACCGTTCACTGTGCTCCGGATTTGACCCGCACGCCCAAGAGAAATTCCAAGAAGCGATGCATAGTTCTGCGGGCGCCATCAACCGAGCTGAAAGCCGTGTGGCAGAATCTTCTCACCAGACAAATGTAAGACCAGCAACTTAACGTTCTAATCACTGTTCCCTGTCTAATTCCACATTTCTGACCACTACAGATTCCTAGTCAACGCAACACTTGGATCAACCCCGCTGAGCAGCCCGCTGGATTCGCCGGACATCCTGCAAACGCTGGTCCCCATCGGAGACATCGGAGCAAGGGCTGCTTCGATGGCATCGGTCAAGGTACCTTCATTGGACAACATCCATCTTAAGAATCAACAGGTGTGTTCTAGCCTAGGTCTAGCGTCTTCTTGTAGTAGTGTCTCTTCACTCTCGAATGCCATCACTTCCAATTCGGTAACCACAACGTTAGGGTTTAGTGCCAGGAAATATTCTAGTTTAGCAGCCCGAAGTAATACCATCGACAGTAGAAGCTACCGATCGCTGTCAACGGTTCCCGGATCAATCTCCGAACTGCCTGAACTGACCTTGAACAATAGTACAAACTGTTACAAACCAACTAGCCAAACCAAATCGGACGACGTCAATAGCAACTATCTCCCCAAAGCATCGTATCCCATCGAAAACCTCATTGAAGAAAATCACACGGATTACTCGTCCAAAAATCCAGTCTCTCCCAGAGACCGTATGATGAACAGCTTAACCCGTGGATCCCGGGATAACATACGCTCGATTGTTGAATTCAGCTTGAGCTCCGTGGGACGATCTTTCATCGACAGTGCCGATGATTCGGAAGACAATCAATCCCTCAGCGGAGACTACGTAAACACTCCAGATACCCCTCCGCCAAATGTATCTCCCTCGTCGTCCCACAGGAACTCGGAAACGTTTTCAAACGACTTCAAGACCTCGTCCTCGCCGAGTGCAGCCGTTTCCCCGATGGAAGGCGACTGCAGCAAGTATCTGCTGGCGAGTGGCTACGGAGGATCGTGGGATTTACTGGAGTTGGATTTGGACTTTCATCAGGTTAATTATGATCCATCGTTTGGAAACGATGTGACCGAGACGGAATTTATGGGCGATGACGACCCGTTCGGAATGCTGCCCACGCAACCGACGCCGCCAAATTTATTGGATCTATAGTTTTACTTGCAGATCTGTTTCAGCAGCAACGAGGACTGGGCCGGATGTAAGTTTCTGGACGCGAAGGAAACCGAAGCAAAGAAATCCGTGCGTACCGTTGGCAGTCAGTGTAGAGAGTAGGATGGGATTTTTTAGTTTGGTTAGTGAATGGAAGGCTAGGGTTGGGAAACAAAACTCGTGGTTCTATTTTTAAATAAGGTGGCCGGTTTAAAGGAAGAGATATTAAGTTCTATTTGCACACAGATAGAAACATCTAAATTTTGCCAGTCGCGTAAAATCACTCGTCGTTTAGTTTTGAGCTGTGGTTGGCATAAGTAACGAAATTTTATTGCAAGCTTGCAGAGTTTTTGATCTAATTTTCGGCCTACTAAGAACAAATGGAATGGTTCTACTTAAGATGACTTCTAAATTTATTTAGCTTTCCATGTTTGATGAGAGTCAAACATAGTGTGGACTACCTGGGAAATCAAAGAATTTAAGGGAATCCCATTTTGGGCCTGGAAAGTCAGGGAATCTCAGGGAATCAGGGATTGAAGTCTTGGGGAGCGGAGTATTTAGCAAAAACCCAAAACTTGATAACTTCCAAAAAATATAACTCAAAACCAAAAACAGCGGTAAAGGCAATAATAGCTGCAATTTCCAAACCTACGACTAGATGCCTCTCTTCAGATAACGACTTGAGTGCGGTACAACCGATAGAACTGTTTCCACAAATCGTAGGTCGTCACCATCCCTCCCCAACTGGGGAGTTTGGTAAAAAGAGATGATCAACCCTATTCGTAACTTCCTCAAAGTTGTCTTTGCTCGCTTTCTACTCGCTATACACAATTTTCACACTGCAGTACTCTAACGGGAAATATCACCTCTATTCTTTCATCTCCTGATCTATCGTATAAAAATACCACTTTAAGTCTGTTATTTGACGCTTAGCATCTTCAACTATACAAAATCTAGTTTCCAATAGGTATTAGTTGTCACATTGTGTGTTTTCAGGTAGTATGCAAGAGTCTAGAATACCCGTTTCCTTGATCCCTGCTAAGCAAAGTGGATTATATATGAAAATGATTAAGCTTTCTGCAACGTCAAGTTCCCAAGGCGAAACTATACTCCTTTGACAAATTGCTCCCCTTGGAGAATATATGCTCTGCAACCTTAGATCTGAAGTCACAATGAAGTCCTTTTTTACTTTAGCGATGTATTCCTTGAACCTCGTTCCCAAAGTCCTTTTAATTTGAACAATGTCACATTGCGGACAAGACATTTCGTAGACACCGGCTTTTCCCAAGACATTCACTAGGTCCTTTGTTGATCCCAACACCGGCTTCAGTTGATTATTCCTACTGAATAGTAAATCTAGACCAGATCGAAGTCAAAAAAATAACGAACATCATGCAAATAATTCCTAGCTCTTCAAACGACTCTCATAGCGGTACCGGTGATTACCTCCCTGTCGTCGGTAGCATTGGTGCTCAGGGCGGAAAACAAATCAACGCAAAAACCACTCTCATCAGCACAAAATGGTCACTTTTCTTCACATAATTCACAGCATACAAATTCTAACTTGGCGATATAGGGAAACCTATAGAAATGGCTCATATTTTTCTAATAGCTAGGTATAAGCACAGAGAACAGACATGGAGGCTCGAACAAAATTTCTCTAAAAACTTGTGTAAAGATTCCTATTCGACTTAAGCGCCACTAACGGCGACTTCCCCACTTAAAAACCCTCTTTGACAACATGATGGCGCTGGCGTTGCACAAATTACACTAGACACTAAGTACTAGTAGCGCCAAGTGGCAATTTTCAACAGAAAATTTATCGATACTAGCGCCAAATTCGTCGAAAGTCTGAACTGATTTGCACCTTCACGACTCACACACAAGAAATCCGGAAGGTCAACAAAAATATTCCTGAACACTATCAGGATCCTTGCAAAACTGAAACAGACTTAAATTTTGCACCTAAAAACGCTCCAAATCTCGATTAGAGCCGTATTAACGGAGATAAATCGATTTAAAGATTTTCATAACCGCCAGCCTGAAAAAATGGGTTGGGAAATTTTTTTGATGAAAATTTTTTTTCACACCTAAAAACTCTCCAAATCTCGATTAGAGCTGTATTAACGGAGATAAATCGATTTAAAGATTTTCATAACCGCCAGCCTGAAAAAATGGGTTTGGAAATTTTATTTTGAGGAAAATTATTTTTGACTGGGACATGTTTTTTGAGGATTTTTTTTTTTTTTTTACTCCTAAAAACGCTCCAAATCTCGATTAGAGCTATATTAACGGAGATAAATCGATTTAAAGATTTTCATACCCGCCAGCCTGAAAAAATGGGTTGGGACATAGTTTTTGAGAAAAATGTTTTTGACACCAAATAACACTCCAAATCTCGATTAGAGCCGTATTAACGGAGATAAATCGATTTAAAGATTTTCATATCCGCCAGCCTGAAAAAATGGGTTGGGACATGTTTTTGGAGGAAATTTTTTTTGACACCAAATAACGCTCCAAATCTCGATTAGAGCCGTATTAACGGAGATAAATCGATTTAAAGATTTTCATATCCGCCAGCCTGAAAAAAATGGGTTGGGACATGATTTTTGAGAAAAATGTTTTTGACACCAAAAAACGCTCCAAATCTTGATTAGAGCCGTATTAACGGAGATAAATCGATTTGAAGATTTTCATAACCGCCAGCTTGAAAAAATGGGTTGGGAAATTTTTTTCTTGAGGAAATTTTTTTTTTGACTCCTAAAAACGCTCCAAATCTGATTAGAGCTATATTAACGGAGATAAATCGATTTAACGATTTTCATACCCGCCAGCCTGAAAAAATGGGTTGGGACATGATTTTTGAGAAAAATGTTTTTGACACCAAAAAACGCTCCAAATCTTGATTAGAGCTATATTAACGGAGATAAATCGATTTAAAGATTTTCATAACCGCCAGCCTGAAAAAATGGGTTGGGAAATTTATTTTTGAGGAAATTTTTTTTTGACTGGCTCCTGACTCCTAAAAACGCTCCAAATCTCGATTAGAGCTATATTAACGGAGATAAATCGATTTAAAGATTTTCATACCCGCCAGCCTGAAAAAAATGGGTTGGGACATGTTTTTTGAGGAAAATGTTTTTGACACCAAATAACGCTCCAAATCTCGATTAGAGCTATATTAACGGAGATAAATCGATTTAAAGATTTTCATACCCGCCAGCCTGAAAAAATGGGTTGGGACATGTTTTTTGAGGAAAATTTTTTTGACTCCTAAAAACGCTCCAAATCTCGATTAGAGCCGTATTAACGGAGATAAATCGATTTAAAGATTTTCATACCCGCCAGCCTGAAAAAATGGGTTGGGACATGTTTTTTGAGGAAAATGTTTTTGACACCAAAAAACTCTCCAAATCTCGATTAGAGCCGTATTAACGGAGATAAATCGACTTAAAGATTTTCATACCCGCCAAAAATGAAAAAATGGGTTGGGACATGTTTTTTGAGGAAAATTTTTTTGACTCCTAAAAACGCTCCAAATCTCGATTAGAGCCGTATTAACGGAGATAAATCGATTTAAAGATTTTCATACCTGCCAGCCTGAATAAATGGGTTGGGCATGTTTTTTGAGGAATTTTTTTTTTTGACTCCTAAAAACGCTCCAAATCTCGATTAGAGCTATATTAACGGAGATAAATCGATTTAAAGATTTTCATACCCGCTTGAAAAAATGGGTTGGGACATGTTTTTTGAGGAAAATTTTTTTGACTCCTAAAAACGCTCCAAATCTCGATTAGAGCCGTATTAACGGAGATAAATCGATTTAAAGATTTTCATACCTGCCAGCCTGAATAAATGGGTTGGGACATGTTTTTTGAGGATTTTTTTTTTGACTCCTAAAAACGCTCCACATCTCGATTAGAGCCGTATTAACGGAGATAAATCGATTTAATTTTTTTTTTGACTGGCTCCTGACTCCTTATAACGCTCCAAATCTCGATTAGAGCTATGTTAACGGAGATAAATAGATTTAAAGATTTTCATACCCGCCAGCCTGAAAAAATGGTTTGGGACATGTTTTTAAGGAAAATGTTTTTGACACCAAAAAACGCTCCAAATCTCGATTAGAGCCGGATTAACGGAGATAAATCGATTTAAAGATTTTCATACCCGCCTGAAAA